AATTGTTTTTGACAAAAATTTTCGGTGCATTTTTGCATGTTTCGGGACCTTTCGGGATTTGATCGGGAAATCTCGGGTTTATTCTAGACTTAAACAGACTCTTCGTAACTTCTATTTCGGTACATTATAGTTTTTTTTTAACTTGTCGCAATTTTTTGAGAAGTTTCCGGACTTGTGGAGAACTTTTTATGAATTCCCAAAAATAAGAGCAAAAATTACGGATTATTATTTGCTTAAAACTTATTCGCCCTTCGCTTTTGCCTTAAAAAATAAAGCCGAAAGTCTCCAAAAATTGTTCGTCTTTCTACCTATTACACTTCAAATTTAATACTAAAGAAAAAAATAATATGGCGATCTTTATTAGAGCTTGAAAAGCCAAATCAAAATTTTTTATAACTTTTGTCTGTCTGTCTGTCTATCTCTCTGTCTATCTATATGAATGTTTGTACGCGCATCACTCGAAAACTATTCCATGGAGTTGAGTGAAGTTATCATCGATGCATTGCTAAGGGTCTAACTTAAAATATAGAAGAAATCATAATTAGATAGTTGCCAACTGTTAAGTAAATTGATAACATAATGTAAATATTTGCCTATAAAAAAGTTTAAGAAGGCTACAGCCGAAAATATTTTAGTGGAAGGTTGCCACCTGTTTGAAAATTTTAATTAAATTAATAAAATGAGTGAAATATTACAATACAGGTATCAAACTAAAGAGATTCAAGAAAGTTTACTGTCGAAAATATTTTAGAATGAGAAACATTTTACTCAGTTAAATTGATAAGATAAGGAAAATACATACTTAAGAAATTATACAATTATTAATAAAATTTCCAGAATTTAATATCTTCAAAAATATACTAACTAACACTAACACTCAAATTCATAAAAAATAAAAAAAGCTTCATTTTGTAAATCGTCTCAAACTTTAACTCCACCTGTAAAATAATGTACTATGTATATATTTAGTGGAAATATCATCTTTTGATTGGACCTTCCTCAGTTTTTAAAACCCCTAATTTGTAATATATTAAATTTTATAGAAAAATTATACGGATATTTCAAATAGCATTACATACTAACTCGGAGATTGTCTGCAAGGATGCAAGTAAAATAACTTCTCATTAATTTTTTTTTACAAAGCTCTAGTTTCGTGTGCATCTCGAAATTTCTTCTTCTGACATATAAAAAATGATAATAAAAATACAGTATCCGCCAAAAAGTGGTGTTCAACACATCAAAGTTATCTTTAAGCACTCATTGGAGCTATTTCCGAAATTCGTCAACAGTTGGCGAGTTCTGACTTCGCATATTACGAGTATGATTATTGTTATTGCCTTTATGAAGCGCAAAAGCAACATTAAATTTGCCTGCTTTTAAACATAAATACATGGTATACTCTACTACGAAGTGGTCTACACTTGAACATATACCCCTTTTGACTATACATGTGTCAAAAATTAATTTAGTACAAGCATGCGCATACATATGTATGCTTGTGTAATCCCTGCAGGGAAACCGCGGACTAGTGAATCAAATTTCTAGTTCCGTACTAGGTCTTTATCGCCAAAAAGGAACTAGTCCGATAGGAACTAGATCCCCACCAGTCCAAAATCGGCGAAAAGGGGTACTTTTAAGAAACCAATTTTTCAGTTTTTTTCACTACAAATCTATATCTAAAGTGACGAATTTAGAATTGGTTCGGAACTATAGAAAAAGGGATGCAGAACGAACTAGATCCTATTTGTCGAATTTAGAACTATTTGTCAACTTTCGAATAAGGGATGCAGCGGGGGGCTTTTTTACTTTACATAGATATGTGTTCGGCGGCATTTTCGTTCAAATACGCTTCTATTCTGTGCTTCGCAGATGCTATTTCATAGTTTGGTAATACAAAACAAAGCTTTGTGTTAACATATTAACATCTTGGGGCCGTCTGGAATCTAACCAATAACAGCGAGCACCTCTGCAAAGTCAGCTACGGCAAGGTATGTAAACGTACATTTCTTACAATCACTCAAACAAATTTAATTTCAAATTGAAAAAAACGTTTCTTTGAAAATAATGTAAAATCGCACACGACAGAACTGAAAGGTTGAAAAATCATGATACCTTTTTCTTTCGTCTGTCGATTTTAGAACAGGTTCGGAACTATAGAATTTAGGACTAGTTCGGAACTATCGAAAAAGGGATGCAGCGGGAGGCAATTGACACTTCCTAGGACATCGCCATGTTAAATTCGCCAGTTGCTTGCATGCAAAAGAGATTTATCGCGAACCAGTACTGGGTCTAAATGTACTAGAAACGCCCCAGTTCAGAACTAGAGATTTTCCCCACAGGGATTGAACACACAGCCAAGCAGCTTCAACTGCAGCCATGAAAAGTGTCACAGTTTTCAAAGTTTTTATTAGAGAATTTGGGATTTTTCATGGCTTACGCCTCCTTATCTGTGATTTGCACTAGCCATTTTTCGTTATTTCACACATTCATACATGTACATATATATACATATATGCAATACATATGTGATACACTTTGAGCATGAGACAGGCATATGACTATTGCAGGCTGAGATTAAAATGGTAATGGTCGGATTGTGTGAAGGATTGTTTTTGGGATTTTGTGGCAAATTTGTTGCGTTAATTTGTCTGAAACAGATTAGGGATGAAAAAGTTCAAATAGGCTAGGGAAATGCCGAACGTTTAAAAGTAATAAAACGCTGGAGGATAGAAAATGTGAAATGACTATTAAATAGAACAGTGACGGTCAGGACTATATCTACCTATGTATAAACTGGAGAGATAAAATAAAGCTTAATATTTAAAATTACGTCCATAACTATAATTATGTACACTAATATGATGAGGCGCGTACAGTGGCGAATTTGTAGTATAGCAAATGTTTTGTACATACATACCTATGTACGTTGTGCTGAGTCAAAAAATACTACTATCGGAATTAAAAAAAAAAAAATGCAGCAATGAACATATATACACTTGCGGTCAGCTAATTAAGTTAACTGACATTTCGACCAGTTTTGGTTATTTCTCTTTTGTCTATTTAATGTTTATATATTTTTTTTTTTTTTTATAAAAGTCTAGCTCAAACTTCTGACTGCAGTGAAAAAAGAGCGTAAAGAAAAATCCATTTAAGGGTCTCAAGTTTCTGTGTATAATTATATTTACTGTTGTTTACTTTTCTCTTAGAATAAGTATTAAATAGTCTACACTCAGTGTACTGTACTATGTATTGTATTAAAATTTGCGCTATTGGCTTTTAACTACTCAACCACTTTGTTTCCGTCATAATTATTTTGTTTTATATAGGGATTTTGATTACAAAAGGGTCTGGCGTTTGCTTTTTTCCTTATACACAAGTCTACATACAAACATCACTCTTCTCAGCCTGGTTTTCAGCTATGCATGCCAACTGCAAGTGAAAGTTTTACATTTTGATTGACTTATAACAGTAAAAGCTTTACTTTTATTCATCCCTATTCTGACAAGTATTATAATGAATTTCGGGCTGGAAATTATGTGTACGCATGTGTGTATGTACATATGTATGTAGTAGAGATGTTAAGTTTTTCGCTTTTTACCATCCCGGGATTAGTCTCGGGATTTAGATATTCATTACTTTTCAACAAATTAAATCGAAAAAATTGCTTCTATATTGTTTGAGAAGCTCTCCTACCATAAAATAAATAATAAATAAATGGGGTTGAACTACTTTTTCATTTAAAGAGGCGTTTTTATATTTTCTCTCTGATGTCATGATTAATTCCAAAAATTATTTAAAAAATTCAGTGCAATTTAGAATATAGATATAGGTACCAAATTAAAGACGAAATTTCTTTTGAATTTGAAATAATTAAAATTTTTTGGAATCACAAGGACGAATAGGTCAATTTTTAAGTTTGTAAAGTTAGAGGGACGAAATTCGAGGATATTATCGAGTTTACACAAGCCCTTAACATATAATTTTTTCAAAAACAAATATCGCCAAATTTCAAGGATAAAATTTTAAAAGGACATTTTCAATACCAGTACTTATGCACCAAACAGTTGAATTTTACTATATTTGGCCCGTGGTTTCGCGAATATATTGATTTTTGTGTGTAACATTTATGAGCCAGGCATTTAAAAAAAAATTATCAATTATTAAATAAAAAAAGAAATATAAGAAAATATAGAAGAAAATACTGGTCAAGAAAAGGAGTTTCGGGACGATTTTAAAAGAATCCTGGGATTTTTGGGAACGCAAAAAGATCGGGATTAACATTCCTAGTACACTCTAAAAAATCTGTTTAAAAATGCGACTATAAATCGAGTATATTTTTGTTTATTTTTAAATTTTTTTGGTAAGTTTACACGATGAATATGTATTTTTCTCGTTTGCACATTCTCGTGTGTAAAAATCCTTTTTGTTAGTGGCTTTACACAATTCTAAGGGTGAAATCAAACAGCAGATGTGTATTTTGTAGCTTGTACACACTTTCTTAGTAAATTTACGCACACCACAGCAGCTATATTACACTCTAAAAAGTCCGAAGTTTAAACCAACTATTCGTTGAATAATCGAGCATGTAATTTCGCGAATAATAAGGTAGGAAATCAGTAACCTACCTTTTAGGTAGGAAATCTACACAATTTTTTTTTAGAGTGTATGTAGATATGTTGGTTTATATTTTAAAAATTTTATGCCATAAAGATATGCAGGAATGAATTAGACTTGCTGACAGCATTCATCGTTAAAATTATCCCAAAATGATCTGAAAAACTTTTGGAAGTAGTTATTTGGAAACTCAATCATTTATGATTTCGCAGTAATGTCTTTCATTTAATAATTACATTAATACATAAAGTGGTTGGTTTTAATGGACATGTTCTATGTAAATCTACATATATACAAGGAGTATACTAGTATATACGTGTTGCATTTACTCCGAAACAATATACAATATTTTTTTAAATAACTTTTCTCTTATACTTTCATTTTAGGCACAACAAATGTACAGTTGCAATTAATTTGCAGTGGTGATACCCAGCGTGATATTAACTTAAACAATGTAAGTAGATCATGTTTCTTATTGTGCGTATGTTAATACGTTAATTTGTTGATAATATGCTTTTTAGGGCAATACTATTATTCATGCACCGGAATGTCCAAAGGCCAAATCCTACGATTGGTGCATTGACAGATTTGTACATTTTGACAGTTAAAGAGTGGTTTCGTTTTGAAATGTTTTTATTGAGCTGAACTCATTCTGGATAAAAAGTTTCTAGACAGCATTACTTTGCGCCAAAATGTATAAATCTCTACAAACGAACCAATAGTGTGATTTGGACTTTACATTCCAAATGTATGAATAATACTGCGGGCGAAGAAATTAGTTCTATGAACTGGTTCGCGAAACGACTTTCAGTTTCATAAAAAAGTTATTGTCAACTCTGAAAATAGACTATTATTAATGCCTACCATTCAGGGATATCAAATAAGGCCATGGCCTTATCAGAAAAACTACGACCCAATTACACAGCTGATCTCCGGAAACCACGTGTAATATTGAATGACATCGCATTATTCTTGGCGAACGGTAGCACCTTGTTGTACCCTATTTTGGCAGTTGTCTCCAGGTTGGGCAGCAAGTCTGCACCCAGGAACCCGAGACTAATTCGTACTCTGCTAAAGGCAGAACACTTACAGGGGATATGCTTATCTCCGTTTTTGGAAAATCGGCATATCGTCTATTGGAATTGTTTCTAATATAGCGCTCCTTTAAAAGTCTGTCGGCCTCTGCTCTGTTTTAAACCAATCGCCAGATTTGTTTTTAATTTTTTAGCTAATAAAGTTAAAAGGACGAAATTCGAGGATGTGGTTATGTGTATAGTCCTTAGTCCATAGTCCTTAACAAATACATTTTTTCAAAAATTAATATTGCAAATTTTCAAAAGTATTCATGGGTGTAATTTTAAAAAGACATTTCCAATACCTATCCGTCTTTGTGCGCCAAAAACGTTATTATTTTCCAGGTCTACAGAACTTTCTATTTAATTTGTTGTTACCCATATTTTTATTCTACATTGCACTGAATTTTTCCAATAATTGTTTTAATTAATGATATCCTTGAAATTTCCCGGCGTCAGAGAGCAGAACTTAAAACGCAGTTTTACTATTTTATAAGGTATTATTTCGGCTGCCTGCACATAACGCCAAACTATTCAATGAAAATTAAAAATTTCTTAATAGAATACTAATAACTAACATCTTGTTCATAAAATATTTTTTTGTTCTCCTCTAACAAAAGTAATCTAAAACTTAATACTTATTCCAATTTCCAACCACAAACTAATAAATGCTTTCACCGCCCACCTTTCTCGCTTCACAACCGAAACAGTCGGAAAAACAATCGAACTAATCTGCAATCGCCTTGTAAGTGGTGGGCAAAACTATGCGTTCACACAATTTACGTAAATGGGTGACACACATAAATACATAGTACGTACATAGTTCTAAATCTTTGCAAAAGTACTTTAACAACATGCAACATAATAGCAATAAAATGAGTTGTTGCAGCAGCGGCAAAAGTTGCACTTTACATTGTTGCCGGCGCCAACGCCAACGACGACGGAACGCGTGCAAGTTTTGTAACGTCGAAAAGTTGGTGTTAGTTTTCATGTTTTCGCCTTGCTTGCGGCATTACTGTTTCATAACACACACACTTTTGTTGCCACTGGATTTTTTGCAAGTACAGTATATTTTGCTTTGTTGCCTCTATGCTTAAGTGCACATTTAAGATACCTACCCCAAAATGAGCATCAGAGGCATTATTTTTAACATTTATAAGGAAACTGCTCCGATAGAACCATTTAGCATACCTGCACATTGGCGATACCTGCCTTAAAAATTGTGCGACTAGTATCAATTATCAAAGAAAGTATTACGTTTACCTGCACTGGCCCTACAATTGCCTAATTTTACAACTTTTTATTTATTTTGTTCATCTCGCCGAACAATGAAAATGGCTATAAATTTATGTAGTTATATAGATAATTAGATACTATTCTCTCGACGTACGAAAACCACGCTCTATAAGTCACTCATCATGCCCGTGCTGGTATATGGCGCAGAAGCATGGACAATGACAACATCCGATGAGGCGGCTCTTGGGGTGTTTGAGAGAAAGATTTTGCGGAAGATTTACGGTCCTTTACGCGTTGGCGACGGCGAGTACCGCAGACGATGGAACGATGAGCTGTATGAGCTTTACAACGATATGGACATAGTGCAGCGAATTAAAATACAGCGGCTCCGCTGGCTTGGTCATGTCGTTCGAATGGACACCGACGCTCCAGCTCTGAAAGTATTCAACTCGGAACCCGCTGGTGGTAGCAGAGGAAGAGGGAGGCCCCCACTGCGATGGAAAGATCAGGTGGAGAAGGACTTGGCTTCACTTGGCGTTTCCAATTGGCGTCAGTTGGCACAGAGGAGAAACGACTGGCGTGCTTTGCTGAACTCGGCCAAAATCGCTTAGGCGGTTACAGCGCCAAAAAAGAAGAAGAAGAAGATACTATTCGGTAAAAATTTCGCTTGCAGTAATTTCTACGTGGTAAGTGCTTCTCCATTATTTGGTTTCATAGGGATTTGGATACCTTCCTCATTGAAGTAGTAAAGAAAATTCGCTTAAGTGCCTTTTTCGGTTAAGTGCACAAGTTTTTCGTGCAAAGAAGGATGTGCAGCTAAGCAAAATATACTGTACATACTATGGTGCTAAGTTGCGTTGGCATTTTGTTTCAAACTCGTTGAAGATATGCAATAGCACTTTAAAGTTAAACTAAATACATATGTAAATATGTATCAGCATTTAGTTGCACTTGGTTGTAGATGTAATGCGGTATGTTCCTAAATTAGTACGTGTGTTTATGCTGCGCGACAATTGCGAATATGCTGCATGTGTAAGTAGTGCATATATGCATGTGGGTATTTTGGTCATGTTTTTGGCCATGTCTGGCAATCTGCCTCGCGATCCACTCATGCTGGTCGCGAATAAATTATGTGCCAAGTTGTTATGCTGCAACCTACACGGCGTATGATTGCTATATTTTTGCTTTGTTCTCTGCTTTGGTTGTTTATGTTTTGGAAAGTAACTCAAATCAATGTTATTATTATTTATTTCTATGAGCTTGCAAGAATAACTTTGGTTTTACTTTTTCATAACGCTTTGGCGACGCGACAGGATATGAGCAGTTTACTTGAACTTTCGCGAATGAAATTTATGTGCAGGAAGTTAGTAAATGATAGTGGCATAATTTACATTATTGTACTTTCATGCATATGGATCACAAATTACCTAATATGTCTATTTTTTCCACAAGGCCAAGGCTTCTAGTGGGTTAATATTTTAATTTCAGTTATTCTTCCCTGAAGTAAGAGGAGGTCAGGGAAATAAAAATGCTTTCACTGAAAAACGAGATCCATACTTTTTTCCAATGATTTTAGCATATTTGAAACAGAAACACCTTATTTGCTAGAACCATATTTCTCCAAGAAACCTTGTATTACTTCTTTAATGGCAAGGTACTTAAACAAAATTTTGTAGACAAGAATATATTTCTGATCAGGTTTACACAAAAAAACATTATTGCTTATTTGTTTTTTTATTTTCTGTGGACTTTCAGGTTCTTTGTATAAAGATTTTGTCTGAGAATACCTACCCTAAGTGAAATTTTCCGGCGAAAAATTTTTTAGGACATTTAAAAAAAAAGTGTCAAAATGACCCCCTCATCAGAGAGCTAAAGGACTACAATTCTTTACAAAATTATTCCTCGAAAAATTTTACTATATTCTAATCATAAATATTTTTCAATTAGAGCTTTCTGGATCCCTTTCCATTTGATACCCGTATTAACATATTATTTTGTTTAACTTATAAATATTTTTGGATTTCGAATTTCTAAACAGGTGGCAACTCTCGTCAAAAATGTTTTAGAAATAAATCAGTCTTAAACCTCTCCCGTTTTATATAAAATATATTAATAATATTAAAATATTTCGTTCAACTTTTTTATTAAACTGATTTTAAATTTCTAAACAGGTGGAAATTGCCTTCAAAAATATTTTGGAAATACATTTTTTCTTAAACCTCCCTCTTTGGGTACCCATATTTTCTTTAACTTCCTATTTAAATTGTTTCTTAAAATTCTTAACAGGTGGCGACCCTCGTCAAAAATATTTTCGAAATAAATCATTCCTAAACTTCTCCCATTTGATATTTTTTAATAGTAGCATATCTTGTTTAACTTGTTAATTAAATTGATTTTGAATTTCTCTATAGGTGGCAATCCTTGTCAAAAATATTTTTGAAATAAAACATTCTTGAGTTTACATGTAGCAACCTTCGTCAAAAATATTTTTGAGATAAAGCATTCTTAAGCCTCTTTCATCTTTTATTTACCCATATTGAAATATTTGATTTTAACTTTTTGAACAGGTTGGAACCCTCTTAAAAAAAATCTAAATAAAGCGCTTTAAAATACTTTCGTTTAAAATCCTCATCGTTGAAATATTAGATATTGTTTATTAATTAATTGATTTAAACTTTTGAGAAAGGTGGCAACTCTTTTCAAAGAATATCCTCTATGCTAACCTATTGAAATATGTCTAACCATTTTAGCATGAAGGAGCAACAAACATACTAACTTATTCACAAACTTCCAAATTTATAATATTTCACAGTGGAATTTAAATGAAATAATTTCGTTCCCTGCCAGGTACAGCAATGTATGTGCGTATGGACACATTTTCTTTGACATCAAGTGTAATTCACAGATTATGAATACTTGTCATTTTCACATCACTTCGCGTTGATTGTGACTACACTTGGTTGGCTAGGTGATGTGCGCGTTGAACGCCTAAGTTTAAATAGGGTTGCTTAAGGATCAGCCGGCGAACAATTGCAAAGGACACCAGAGTAAAAAAAAGAAGAAAACATTCACAAATTTGCATACATACAAATATAAAAATGTACATGAAGCACCGAGGTAAGAAGTCGACTGCTTTTGGCGATGT